CCCGTGAGTCCTGTCTGGGGGACCCTGGTGTCTGGGCAGCAGCAGAGCTGGAGGGGGGGAGCATAGCAGCACCATGATGGTGACCCCCCTCCATGGCTCTGTGCCAAGATGGGAGCACCTCCTGATGGGCACTCAGGGGTTACCCCAGAGGCAGTGACACCCCCCAGGGGTGTCACCCAAAGGTGACCTCCCCCCCCAAGTCAGGGTCACATGGGGGTGCCAAGCTTCACACCTCCCCCCCATTACGAGGTCACCCCTTGTTTTTGCAGGCCGCCCCCAGGGGTGCTGGCAGAGGGGCAGGGGGCTCGTTTTGGGGGGGAGGGCGCAGGTCCTGGGTGCCCCCGGGTGGGGAGATGTGAGAGGTGGTGGGGAGGGGGGGGCAGAGTGCCCCTGACCGCCCCCCCCAAAACGTTTGCACGCAGCCACTGCATCCAGCAGATCCTGGAGGCTGTCCTCCACTGCCACCAAATGGGGGTCGTCCACAGGGACCTCAAGGTGAGTGTTCCTTCTGTCCGTCTGTCCGTCCCTCTGCACAGGGTGTTCCCCCCCCCAACCTCCAGGTCTGGGGGTCCCTGGGCAGCTTGGGGTTGGGAAGGGGCTGGCTCAGTAGGTCCCCAAGCACCAGGGTCCTGGGGGGAGGGGTCACTCTGTTCCCCCCCAGCTGGGGTTCCTCTCTGCTCTGAGGACCCCCAACTGCCACCTCACACACGTCGCCCCATCACGGCCCCCTCCTGTCCCACACCGGGTGTTCACTCTCTCCCCCCATGCGGCCGGAGGGGACGGAGGGGGGATGCTGAGCCGGGGCTGTGCCATGGGGGGCTGTACCACGGGGCACACACAGACCTTGTGGTGTAACCCTCCGGGTGGCGTCCCCTCTGTGTCACACTGCCCTGGCCCCCCCGTCCCTGCCCACACCAGCCCGAGAACCTGCTCCTGGCCAGCAAGTGCAAGGGGGCGGCAGTGAAACTGGCCGACTTTGGCCTCGCCATCGAGGTGCAGGGGGACCAGCAGGCCTGGTTCGGTGAGTGCCACCACCTCCCCACGCCCCTTCTGTCACTGTCCCCTGCCCGCCGGGGTCTGCCCCCTCCCTCCCCACCACCCTGCTCTGTGCTCACAGCATCCTGCCCACTGCGCCCCCCTCTGCCCACCACGTCCCTACCCTGTGCCCGCCACATCCCTACCCGGTGCCCACCCCGTCCCCCTCTGCCCACCGTGTCCCTGCCCTGTGCCCACCCCATCCCCCTCTGCCCACCACATCCCTACCCTCTGCCCACCATGTCCCCCTCTGCCCACTGCGTCCCTGCCCTGTGCCCACCACGTCCCCCCAGGCCCACTGTATCCCTGCCCACCATGTCCATGCCCTGTCCCTGTCCCATGCCACTGCATCCCATGTCCACCCTGTTGTCCCATGCCCACCATGTCCCAGCCCTGTGCCTACCCTGTCCCATGCCCACCAGGTCCCTGCCCTGTGCCCAGCACACCCGTCCCCTCCTTGTGCCCCAGTCCCATGCCCACCGCCTTGTGTCCCCTGCTTGCCTCTGTCCCTCTCCCTGCCCTGTGCCCGCGCTCAGCTGGCTCCTTCCCGTCTCGGCTGCAGGCTTCGCGGGCACACCTGGCTACCTCTCCCCTGAAGTCCTGCGCAAAGAGGCCTATGGCAAACCCGTGGACATCTGGGCATGTGGTGAGTCCATCCCACCTGGTCCCCTTTGCAGTTCCTTCCTGATCCCCATCCCAGTCCCTTCTGGTCCCATCCTGGTCCCCATCCCACTCCCACCCTCTCCCCTTCCTGGGCTCCGTCCTCGTCCCATCCCATTCCCATCCTGAATCCCCACCACAGTCCCATCCCAGTTCCTGTCCCAGTCCTATCCCAGTCCTCACCTGGGTCCCATCCCAGGCCCCATCCTGGTCCTATCCCAGGCCCCATCCTGGTCCCATCCTGTCTCTATCCCGTCCCCACCCCAGCCCCATCCCGTGGCCATCCCAGGCTTCCTGCCCCACTTCTGCCACGCTCTCCCAGCTGGGAGGGTGCTGCCATGGGGGACGGTGCCATCTGGCAGCACTGCCCCTGCTGGCGCGGGGACAGGCCATCTTGGGGACCCTGCTGTCCCTGGGCAGGGCTGGAGGGAACCACGGGGAGGCTGGGCGTCCCTGTCCCCCCTGACCCTGACTTGGCTCTCCCTCGCCCAGGCGTCATCCTGTACATCTTGCTGGTGGGCTACCCGCCGTTTTGGGATGAAGACCAGCACAAACTCTACCAACAGATCAAGGCTGGTGCCTATGATGTAAGTCCCTGGCACTAGGCACCCTGCTCTGTGCTGCGGCCGGCTGGTATGTTCACTCTGGAACCTACTGAGGGACACCACAAGGGACACCACACCTAATCACCACCAGGCAAAGCCTGGGGTGTGGCTTTGGGCCACATCTGTGTTGGCTGGCTGGGGAACACGTGGGGAAGCGGAAGGACACAGGCTCCATGGGGCTGCACCAGCCATCACCCCGCCATGTCCCCGTGTGTGTCCGTCCCCCCACAGTTCCCTTCACCCGAGTGGGACACGGTCACCCCTGAAGCAAAAAACCTCATCAACCAGATGTTGACCATCAACCCTGCCAAGCGCATCACAGCCCATGAAGCCCTTAAGCACCCGTGGGTCTGCGTAAGTGCTATCCCCCCCACCCCACTGTGTCCCCACTGTGTCCCCCCCAGTGGCCACTGGCGCCTGTGCTGACCCCCCTGTCCCCCGCAGCAACGCTCCACCGTGGCCTCCATGATGCACAGGCAGGAGACGGTAGAATGTCTGAAAAAGTTCAACGCCCGGAGGAAGCTCAAGGTGAGACCTGCTCCAGGTGGGGTGAGGGCTGGGTCCAGCCCTGGCCATGCCCAGTGCCTCCCCCCACCCGGGCTCAGCAGCACCCTGCATCCCCCCCCAGGGCTCTCCCCTGGGGCACAGTCCCATGTTGGCCATGCCCAGTGTGGCATGGTGTCATCCTGGCCCGTCCATGGCCCACGGTCCCATCCCAGTGGTACCTGGGGCTGTACAGTCCCATCCTGCCCCTCCCTGGAGGGTCACCCTGTGCCACAGCCCCATCCTGCACCCCCCCCTTCCGCTGCCACCCCAGGGCCCGATCCTGCACCCCCTGCCCCACTTCCCACCCCGTCCTGGCCCCCCTGCCCCACGACCTCACCCTGCACCCCCCCTGTTTTGCAGGGCGCCATCCTCACCACCATGTTGGCCACCAGGAACTTCTCAGGTAAGGGGGGGCTCCTGCTGGCTGGGGGGGGCTGGGGGCCGCAGCCCCCTCGCCCACAGCCCCTGCCGAGGCCAGTGCCCCCTTTGCCCTCTCTCTGTCACTGTCTTTCTCTCTTTCTCCC